AGGCTGAGGGGCTTCACGGTCCCTTCCAGCCCTGAGCTATGCTGTGATTGAGAAGGCATCAAGGAAAGGGAGAACTTCTAGACCTTTGCTCAGGACAGCTCTTGAGATGGTGAAACACATGCAGCTCAGATTTATCACATGGGAGGAAGGAACCAGTCTGCCCAGCTGCTCTACTGGTGACCCCTCAAGCAGCAGTTCCCTGCTGTGTTTGCACTTTGGGGCTGCTGCAGGGAGCAGTGGGTTGCTTATCTTTGCAGCACTTGTTTCTGTATTTCTAATGAGTGCTGGAATGCTCTGCAGCTTTAAAGTCTCAGGATGGGATCTTCCAGGTGGGATGCCCTGCACTAAGCACCCTGCCTTGGTTCTTCTTTCTTGCAGAGCAAGGCTGGAGCAGAACACACGCAGCAGCATGGAAGGGTCTGTCGTAGGGTGTGCACTTATGTGCTGGGTGACTCTTACCTGCTCTGAGCCTGCAGATCCCCAGTGGCTGCATGGCAGCATCCATTGGGCTCGCTGTTGAGCTGTCATGTGGGTATCTGCCTGCAGCCGTAGCTGATGGCCTGCTGTTCTTTCCCATCCAGAGGGCTCAGTTTCATGCCTGTGTCTCCACTTTGGGCTCAGTGACCTGCAGCACTGGGGCTCAGCAGCATCCCCACTTTTCCTAACATCTCCCAGCCACCCTGCACGCAAACCTGACTGCGCTGCAAAGTTAATAAACTTGTCACTTGAGCTCTGCCTGCAACCAGCCAAGCCATCAGCTAAATTTGGGTGATTATGTTCACCCAGGCCAAGTATCAGGTTATCTGGATCACATGTGCTCCCAGCTGCTATTTAACTCTGAAGCCTCTGGGAGACGCAGCACTTTATTACCCCCGAGGAGGCCAGCTGTTTGGATTTCATATTATTTTTATTGTAACATTTTGGCACCAGTTATTCTTTCTCTTTTTTTTCTGGACTGTTTTTAATTAATATCCTGCCAAATCACTTATCCCCACGGCCCGTCAGTGAGCAGCACCTGCTTTGGCCCTTCGATCTGATCACAATGTTTCTGGTTCTTTCAGCCACCACGGAATTAAGGGACTTTTTTGCCAAAGCCCGAAATGGTTCAGTTCGGCTCATCAAGGTGATCATCGAGGAAGGTAAGCTCCATTTTTAAGTGCTTTGATTTATGCTGTGTCAGCCCAGTTCTCCTCTTTTCCTTTCTTTCCTCTTTGCTGGCCAAATATGCTGAAAAATAGGGCTTGCATTTCTGGAAATGTTGTACAAATTCCAAGCGGGGCTTCTTGACACGTGGAGCCAAGAGCAGAGTGCTGTGGGTCCATGTGAAAACCAAGCCCAAAATTCAGGTGAGCTGCTGAGCAACTCTTGGCAACAACAGCCTCACAGCCTCTGCTGGGGCCGCTCTGGGATACGCAATGACTTTGCATCCTGCTGACTTCAGACCAGCTCTCCAGTGCCCCCAGTCCCAGGTGCTGCTCCTTCCTGCTGCTATGGCACAGGGGGCTGCGTGTTGCCCTGCTGCGTTTGGCCACCAAAAGGTGCCTTTGGGCCTCAGTTTTTATCTCATAAGCAAGTGGAGCAAAGCAGTGATTGAGCATCCCAGCAGGAACCTCTGAGGTGTAGGTTTTCCATCTGCTCGGCTTGGTACCATTGCATATGAATGACTTGTTTTTCACAGAGCAGTGTGGCACCGTCCTACAGCTGGGACTGCAGTGACTTCAGCCACCCTGGAGCTCAGCAGCCAACAACCATTTTTGTTCCCTGGTCATCTTTAGCCTTTAAAAAGCTCGTCCTTCTGTTAGGGATGAGTCAGATAAGCCTAGGCTGCAGTGTGGCTGTGAGGGCTGCTGGCTGTACATGCTGCTCCATAGCAGCAATGGAGACGTGTTACTGTCAGTAGAAATCACATCCCCTTGCTTGGCAGTGCTTTGTGCTTTGGATCCTGCCCTGCCACCATGCTGTCACCTCCATGGTCTGGGCTCTGGGAACCCCAGCCATGGTGCAGTTTCTGGCTTTGCTGCCGGAGCTAGGGAGGAAAATTTGCCCTAAAGAAATTGAATTGAACTGCAGAGACTCTGTGGGAGGAAGCAGAGCAAGCTGAAGAGCAAACAAAGGCTGAAAAGGGTGATGCTGGAGGTGGTCCTATAGAGAGTGCTGATGCTGGTGTTGCATTTCTGGAACAGGCAGTTCTTCAGCCTAGGGAACACCTGGATGCTGCAGGCTGCTGAGGGCACTGCTGTGGGCTGGCTTGTGCTGCTTCGCCTGCAATGAATTACCTGGCATTGGTTGCCCTGTGCATGGGGTGCTGGGACAGGTAGCAGGTGGGAAGGCCTTGGGGCTGCCTGGGTGTTTGGCCAGGTGAAATCTGTTGGGCTCTCTTAGATTTTGGAGCTTTCCAAAAAGCCAAATCCTTCTGCCTGCCTGCTTTGTATTGTTTAAGTCTACACTGAGGTTTTTATGCTGCTTCTTCCTTTCTTTCTCCAAGCAGATGGTTTTGTTGGAGAGAAAGTATTTTCAGCTCTGCTTTTCTGAAAGCACAGGTTGGGGATGGTGTCCGTCTGGAGCAGGGCTGACAGAGCAGCTCTAGGCGGGCTGCTAGTAGTCCTTCAGCCTTTTGAAGCCTCTTTTCTTCCCTGCAACTCGTGTGGAGGAACATGATCTAAAAGCAGCTTTGGGATGTAGGGTGTCCCACGCTCCAGGGGCAGAGCCTCAGCGAGTGCAAAACCTCTTTGCTGCACTTCAGCAGCACAGAAAACTTCTGTCCTTGCTTCCTGAGAACTCTTTGAAGAGGCTTTGGAGAATGGCAAACCTTTCATTTCTCTCTCTGATATTTTTCTTTGTGTTCATACCATGCCTACACTGGCACTTAAATCCCAGCCCCACGCTGCCCAGCTTGCTGCTTGCTGCTTCCAGCCCCATTGATGCTTGCGTAGCAGGGGAAAAAATACCCTCTGGACACTTGAGATGCCACCACATGTGTGAACTGCATAAATCCTTTCCAGAAGCCAGGGCTCTCTGGCAGCACGGCCTGCTGCAGGGGGACACAGCACAGACCCCTGCCTGCTTATCCCTCAAGCAAGTGTTTTTGCATCTCTGAGGTTACGTGGAGTCTGATAAGAGCAGCTGAGCCTTGCCTTAGCATAACCTTCACTTTTCTCTCTTCTCCTTCCAGAACAGCTCGTTTTGGGAGCGCACAAGGAGCTGGCCCGGCGCTGGGACATGGACTATGATGCCTTTGTGCTACCCTTGCTGGATGAGCAGCAGCCATGCTATGTGCTGTACCGCCTGGACAGCCAGAACGCCCAGGGCTACGAGTGGCTCTTCATCTCCTGGTCCCCTGATAACTCCCCGGTGAGCTCTGCTGTCCTGGAACTTGTGGCATTTGGGCGGGAGCAAGATGGGCAGGTGTCCAAAAATCTGCCTTCGGTGGCTCCAGGATGTGTAACTGTAGGCCAGCAACGACACCTGCTGGCTCGTAGGCTGGTGTTGATGTTCCTGTGGCTTGTGACCTTGGCCTTAGCATAACCCAGGGACTGTGAGCCTTGATGGCAGAGGGTTGGCTTGGTCCTCTGTGTCGATCAAGACGGGCTGGGGAGTGCTTGCAAAAGTTCTTTCCTGAGCAGAGTTTTGCAGGAGAACAGTGCAAGAGAAGTCTAAAAGGTGAATGGAAGCAACGTTTTGCTTTTTTGGTGGGGAATTTTCATTGGAAGGATGTGGTCCCTTATGGCGACTCAACGACATCAAACCACCAGGGCTGTTCTTTTGCAACATGATTGTTTTCATGATTCCCTGTGAAGCTGCTGTCTGTCTGTACAATAAACCAGTGAACTGTGGTTTGAGGCCAGAGCTCCTTAAGGCTGCACATGCATAGCTGGGGAAACAGAGCTGATAAGTGCCACACTGTGCTCAGAGCAATCCCCTGGAGCTAGAGCTGCTGGGGTGAGACACAGGACTGAGGTAAAAACCAGGTGGTTGTTTCCAGGTACTTACTTTCTAGCTTGTAGTGCCAATAGCTACAGAGAGCTTTCTGCTCCCTATGAGAATCTGGAGTCTCTGTATCGGTTTTGATTTATTTGTTTTTGTGTGTATTTGTTTTTGTGTTTCTTTGTGTTTGTGTAATCAGAGCATCCCATGGTTAAGCAAGCACATGGAGGTGACATTATTCCTTGTTGTGCTGCAGGGTCCTGGGCTGCAAGCTGGCTCCCAGGGATGAGTCTCAAATGACAGCACCAGCTGTGGTTGTTGCTGCACATGGAAGGGGTGGGAGGCTGAGCTTTGGGAAGGCAGAGCTTTGGGTCAGGAGGTGGCAGTGACCACCTGGTGCCAGTGGGATGGAGGTGACAGGTCCCCTGCTTCCTTCCCTGACCGTGTCTACTGTATCCCTCCTCACACAGGTCAGGCTGAAGATGCTGTATGCTGCAACCAGAGCAACGGTGAAGAAAGAATTTGGAGGGGGGCATATAAAGGATGAGATGTTTGGAACAGTTAAGGTACGGTCGTGATTCACATAGGGTTCTGTTCAATCTTTTGAGTTAAAAGCTGAGCTCTGGGAACCTACCCAGGACTCCAGCTGCTGGCATCCTGCTTCATGGCTGCAATCGGGCTGTGGTCTCCTTTTCTTCTGGCTGTTGTGGTCCCAAGCTTTGCTCCTCAACCAGGGGCCGCACTGCTGCATGGCTGGTGGGATGGCCTGGATGGGCAGGGCTCAAATCAAGTGTGGTGTTTGCATGGAGGTGTCCGAGAGCACAGCCCACACTGGTCATTCGTGTCAGCAGGGAGAGAGCCAGAGCTTGGGATCTCAGATCCAGGCTGGGGTCATAGCCCTGTCCTGTCTGCTCCGTGGTGATAATAACTCCCTAACGTTTCCCTTCTTGTCCCTCTGTCTGCAGGAGGATGTGTCCCTCAGTGGGTACCAGAAGCACGTATCGTCCTGCTCTGCGCCCGCCCCGCTGACTGCAGCTGAGCAGGAGCTCCAGCAGATCCGCATCAATGAGGTGGGCATCCCATGGCACCCAGCCCCGGGGAGGTTTGGGGCTCAGCCTTTGCTGCAGAGGTAGCTTCACTCTTACAAAGCTCCTTTGTACGTGTGCTTTTTAACCCGCTCCTGAACCTGCTGAGGTGGATCAAGCATTTGCATGACCTCATGGTCAAACTGATGATGAATTTTACAGACTCTTTTCTTTGCTAGGACATGAGCTTGGATATCTTACTTTGCATGCTGTAATTAGCAATTAGCAGGCAGGTGGAGCCTAAAGGCAGGCAGCGGTGTCAAATCTTTAGATATCAGGATGGAACTCAGAGCTGGAGTTGAATTTGAGGGGAAAACAGGAAGGATTCCAGCTCACATTTCGGCTGTCACAGTGTACTTTCTCAGGTACATCTGTGGCTGTGAGGGGTGCTGTGCTAAAGGGGAGAGGTCTTAGCCTGAATGTCTGGGGCTTAGTGCTGGAAGGAAGTACAAAAATGGCTGGATGAGGCCAGGCAAGGCTGCAGCACAACACAGGTCCTGCAGCAGCATGAGACACTCGTGCCAACCTCTGTGATGCTGTGGAAACCTTGAGGCTGTGAAGAGGATCCTATGGGGTGAGAGGACTGCCTGGAAGCTGTGTTTGGGAGGAGGGGGATTTCACTGGGATGTCACAGAAACAGCATCCCTCTCTCTTCCTCCTGTGATGGGGTCTGTGGGGCTTAGAGATGGATGTGGAGCCTGGGAGATACTAAGCCAAGCAGTCTGGTCCAGTCAGTGGCAAAGACAGGGCAGGAGCAGGTCTGGGGGCAGTGCCAACCCAGTGCATTAATGTTGTTGGTCCTCTCTTCCTCTGCTTTTTCTTGCAAACTGGGAAGAGACCAACCAGCACCTGGCCTTTTTTCACAACAAGGGGCTAGAACCACATTTCTCAGCACCGCCTGGACCTTCCTTTCCCTGTAGACCTGGAGAACTATGGAGTGCATTGCTTGTCCTGCTCATCATTGGAGCATGTGGTGACAACCACTGGGTGGTGCTGGACAGATATGATGAATGGATCCAGGGCATGCCACCAAATGTGATCTTCTAGTAGGGCTTGGTATAGTCATCCCAGCTCCCACCCAGAGGGTATGGGCAGGATTTAGGCTGGAGAATGCAAGATGACACCTTGGAGAAGAGAGAGCTAATAGTGCTTTGAGACAAGGCTCTGGGCTGTGCTGCTTATCTTGCAGTAACTTTGGGCTTTTATGGTCCCACCCAGGCCATCGCCCTGGCTGGTTGGTGTTGTAGGATTAAGTGCTTTTTCTTGGCTGTGTCTTGCAGGGTGAAGTGGCCCAGGTAAGTGTTGCTCGTTTTGCTTGTGTTCCCAATGATCCGCTGCTCCCCACCCTCCTGACTGCAAGAGGCGGCTCCCGAGCGAGTGAGCTGCCCAGGTTTGGTGTGGTTGGGTTTCATTTTAAAGGTACGCTGTCCCCTGTGTAAGCCTGAACCACAGCAAGTGGACCTTCTCATCTAGAAAGAGAGAAAAATCACTATTTTGCCTCTGAATTTAGTGTGAAGCTCCTGGATGCTTGGGCTGCTGCAGGGTCTCTGTCGGTGCTGACCTTATAGCAAGTTTCTGGAGCAGTGCAAAGCAGAGAGGGGCAACGGGAGCAGCTTTCAGCACCCTGCACAGCAGTGCCTCCGTCCTTGCCTGGACATGCACATTGCTGCAGAAGCAGAGTGACAGTAACCTGTCTCCTTGCAGAACACCAGGTGTGCTGCAGCACAAGGGAAGGAGGCTGCAGCAGTTGTGTTGGCGGTGCTGGTGCCGTGCTGCTGGCTTGTGTTGGCTGTGCAAAATGCTGGCGCTTCCCCCTCTGTCCCCATCACCACAGCTGGGGTCAGAGAGCTCCGTGTCCTTTGTAGCTGAAGCATTGGCAGTGTCTTCACGTGGGCTGACAAAACAGACACTGAGGAGTGGCTGTGACCTGCTGGGCAGCCCTGCAGCGAGCTCAGACCTCAGCAGCTCTGCTCTTTGGCTGTCTCTTTGTTGGGACCCTGAGCTCTGTGAATCCACCAGGATTTTGGAAGTGACACAAGGGACACTGTTTCTTTAAAAGCTACCAAGTGCCTTGCAGTGCATGTCGTTGCCACTTGCCTGGGATTGCTGCTGGTGGTGCATCTCTTAGCGCGGTCTCTAACCTTTGTGAGTTTGGCATTTCTCACTGTGGAAGTGCTGGTATTCCTGGGTTGGCAGCAGGCACCAGTGGGAAGCAAAAGGCAGCAGCAAAGCAGGAGGGTGGATGTGGCAGCTGTGCAGCCCTGCCTTCTGCACTGGGACAGGGAGGAGTTGAGCCAGGCCGCACCTGGCATGGAGAGAGGGGATGTGCTGAGCCATCCTCCTGGAGGCTGGGGCAAGTGTGAGGGAGTTCTCCAAAGCTGAAGGCAGAAAATGCATCACTGCTGTGCTGGAAGCTGTGGGTGACCTATGGGCTCAAACAGTGGTTTTTAAATGGAGATTGAGCTGTCATAACAAATCCCTGCCCAAATGGAGAGTCTTTCTGGAAGCGCTTGGAGGCATTGCAGGCTCAGAAATGCAGAGGGAAACCAGGTTTATCTGTGGGGTGGAGTGGGAAATAAAAGCAAATTAGGAGCTCTGGTCAGCACCCAGCTCTCAGTAGGGAGGGGAAAGCAGAAAAAGGTAAAGAAAAGGAGGTAAAACACCCTGCAGCCCAAGTGCTGCCAGTGGGCAGGCCCAAGCCAAGAGCTGTGGGATGCAGCTTGGCCATCCCTGTGCAGAGCCTGGTAATGAGCCCAGTGCTTGTGGGTTTAAAAAGAGAAGGAGTAGGAAATGCCACGGGGAGGTGTGTTGCAGAGGGTAACAGTGCTGGGATGCCCTCTGATGTGGGGAGCTTTCCGACTCCATCCTGCTTCATCCAGCATTGAAAGCTCTTCGCTCATCGCCCCAGCATCCTTTAGTTCTCAGGGCATTTGCAGGGGAGAAACATGGGGGTCTGGTGTTGGCAGTGATAAATCCCATGTGCCACATCTCTGCAAGGGAGGAGAAGGCAAACCTGAGTGCCATCAGCATCTGTGTGTGCTTGCCCTGTCTTTGACTGTGGGAATGCAGAGCTCTTCATCTTCCTATACTCTGAGCTTGGAAAGTAGCTTGGGCAGTCTTTTTCCCCAAACCTTTAGGGGGATCCCTCTTTTAGGGGCTTCCCCTTTGTGGAGGAATTACTCCCAGCCCTGTTGCTGTAACTCCTCCATCCCAACACAGGTTGGGCAGTCAGCAGGAGGCAGAGCAGGGCTGGTAATGCCCCTGGAGCTCCTGGGCTGTCCCAACAACCAGTCCCACAGCCGTGCTCAGGGCTGTCCCTCCCCAGCACTGACATTTCCCATGTCATTTTGTCACTCTCCATGCCTGCACCCAGGACCTGCTTTCCCTGGCCTCCAGCAGAGACATGGTAGGCCTGCACCCTCCCAGCATGTTGGTACCACCCCCTCCTTGTTCCTAGACCCATCCATCCCTGTGTGGGTGCCGTTGACAGTGTCTCCTCTCCCACACCCGCAGGATTCCTGCTCACAAGACTCAAGCACGGAGATGGTAGGCTGCTCCACAGGCCGTGTGCTGCATGCTCTGCTCCCTTTGCCCCCTGCTCTGCCCAGGGGAGCTGAGCTCACCCCACGCTGGGCTCCCTAAACAAACCCCCAGGGAGCTGGTGTCTGAAGTCTGTGTTGGACTTGAGACGGGGATTAGATCACTCCTGGGGTTTTTTCTACTTCAAGTTGGCGATGGATGGGCTGCTCGTGTGTGTGATTTTCCTCCATTATCATTATAGGGGGGAGGTGGGGAGGAGGGGCTTTTCTCATCTTTGCACCAAACCTCCTAAAACGATCCCAACCGAAAGCAGCACTTGGTGTGCAGTGTGCGGGTTGGCGCTGCCGTGTGCCTGGGGCAGGTGGGGCGGGCTCAGGGGCAGCTCCTCCGCCAGCGGCGTGACTCCGTCTCCCTGTATTCTATGGCAGATGGTGGGGGGCTGTTGCTGCTGCCCATCGCTGGTAGAGTACCCCAGCCCCGAGGAGGTATGCTGTGCCGCTGCGCGTCCCGCTCTCCCTTCCCTCCTGCAGGGTCACAGCACAGCCCTGTTCGGGGTGGAGGTGCCTGATGTGACGCGGCCTGTCCGTCTTTCTTCCTCTTTGCAGTGGCTTTGGTCTCGTGGAGAGGGGATTTGTTTGCTCCGCCGTGCAAAAGCCTCTGCTTTTGAGGGTTTGGTGTGAAAATGTCTGAGCTGCGGGTCTCTGAATCCTCGCTCCACTGTGGGCAGTGGGCACCTGTAAGTGACCCCAGACCCAGGCAGCTGGATGCTGGGATTTCGAGGCTCCCTGCACATTGCAGTGTGGGAGGATGAGGTGAAGAGGCAGCAGTGTTGGTTGTGGCACCCTGCCCTGTCCCCAGCTAGGAGTTCTCTGCAAACAGCCTTATGCTGAGAATCGTAGAATCACAGCATGATTGGGTTGGAAGAGGCCTCACAGACCCCAGCCCCATCCCTGCCATGGGCTGGCTGCACCTCAGCTCAGGCTGCCCAGGGCCTCTCTGTGGCCTGGGGCACCTCCAGGGATGGCACCCACAGCTCTGGGCAGGCTGTGCCAATGCAGCCCCATGAGAAGCGTCAGTGGTGCTGAGGTTGTTTTCTGGGAGCAGTTGTGCAAAGGAGGAGAGCAGGTCTGGGGGATGCACGAGCAGGGACAGATTCTGCTGGGTGATTCCTGTTTGCTGGGAAGCACCACAGTCCCGAGGCTGGTGACATCTAAATGTTAATGCTGTGTTTCCAGTGAGCTGTGTCTCAAGCATTGCCTCTGCCTGAGAGCTTTGCCAGCACTCCTGCACTCACCCATCAAACCCACAAGTTCCTGGGTTAGGGTTGGACAGGCCTCCTGACCCCAGGAGGGCATGGATGCCCCCAGCTGCTGCTCTGTGCCTTGGCAAATGCAAGCATGAGGATGCACATTCACCCTGGGGCAGCTGGAGATGGTACCTGGTCCATGACCACTCTGACACTCAGTGCTTTTCCTGTTTGCAGGTGAAGACAGAGATCAGTGTGGAGAGCAAGCACCAGACCCTGCAGGGCCTGGCCTTTCCCCTGCAGCTGGATGCGCAGCAGGCTATCCAGGCACTGAAGCAGAAGAAAATCAATTACATCCAGCTGGTGAGTCCCTGGCACGGCTCCCCCTGCACCTCCAAGCACCCCTTGCTGTGGCACTTTGGTCTCTTTTGTCCCTTTCTTCAACCAGAAGCTGGATCTGGAGCGGGAGACCATCGACCTGGTGCACACGAGCCCCACAGAGATCACTGACCTGCCCAAGAGGATCCCACAGGACTCTGCTCGCTACCACTTCTTCCTGTACAAGCATTCACATGAGGGAGACTACCTGGAGTCTGTTGGTGAGCAGTGATTGCTCAGAGCCCCTGGCTCTGCCCTTAGCAATGGTGCAGGTGGTGTGGGGGATCTGAGCGGATTCTCCCTTGCCGTGCTCCCCCCAAGCAAGCCTTTGGGGCCCAGAGAATGTGGGGAATGCACAATTTGGATCTTGAGTATTGAGGACTGGGGAGGATTTATGCAAGGGGCTGCTGAGTTGCAGAGTATGGCAGTGGAAGAGCTTGGCCTCTGCACCTGAGCTTGTCAGGGCTCTTCAGCCTGGAAAAGCCCCAGAAAGCCAGGATCTGGCTGCTCCCCATCGTTGGCCATGGGCAGCACTGAGCCTCGTTCCTCTCTCGCAGTGTTCATCTACTCCATGCCTGGGTACAAATGCAGCATCAAGGAGCGCATGCTCTACTCCAGCTGCAAGAGCCGGTTGCTCGACACCGTGGAGCAGGAGTTCTGTCTGGAGATAGCAAAGAAGGTGAGTCCCTACCTCCTGGATGCGACATGGTTTTGACTGGGGTGAGGTCTCAGAATTCAGGGAAGCCTCAGGCATCACTGAGGTTGTTTAACAGCGGCCTGGAGAAAAGGGGAATGGTCTTGCACTGACATCTCTGCCCCAGCCCTAATGGGTATCCCCAGCATCTGTGGTTTTGGTGAAGACTTCTATCCAGTAGGAGGGGATGGATTTCCCTGGTTGAGAGCTTTGGGATTGAAATGACCTAAATCTTTGAGTCATTTGACAACAGTACTTCACACGGTGGGTGTATGGAGGCCCCTTTGCTTCTACCCTGTGGGTCCTTGGTCCAAGCCTATCAGTGTCCTTGAGGAGGAGTGCGGGGTTACCCTGAGAGAGCAGCATTTTGGGGTGTGAAGACAGTCAGGCATTGAGATGGGCTGCCCCAGCCCTGGAGGAATTTACGAGATGTGTGGATGTGACAGTAAGGGACGTGGCTTGGTGATGGCACTCTGTAGCTCATATGAGCTCATTAGAGCTCATTGAAGGGCTGACTGCCACTGGGGAAGGATCTTTGGTTGGAGATCCTTCTCTTATGGAGTTTTCCCTGCAAGCCCAGATCTTTGGAGACAGGTGAGCACCTTTTCTTTCTCATTGTAACGCCATTTCCATTTGTGTAGTCCCTTTGTCCTTACACCTCCTGTATCTCCATTCCATGGTGTTGACCTTTCTGATGGTAACAAACCCCGTTTCCCTGTGCAGATTGAGATCGACGACGGCGCTGAGCTGACGGCAGAGTTCCTGTATGATGAGGTGCACCCGAAACAGCACGCCTTCAAGCAGGCCTTTGCCAAGCCCAAAGGGCCCGTGGGGAAACGGGGACAGAAGAGGCTGATCAAAGGGCCAGGAGAGAACGGCGAGGACAGTTAGATCTGGATGAGGCAGGGACGGGTGGTGAATGGACAGCATCCCCCTGACTTTTCCCAGCTTCCACCCCTCCGTTCCAGGCCTTTCTGCTGACCTGGGGATCTTTCCCTCCATCTCAGCCTTCCCCTTCCCTTCTTTTCCCTTTTTCATTCCTTTTTGAGCATCAGGACGGGTTGTTTCTCCCGACGCAGAGCAGTGGGATGGGGACAGGCTGTAGGTGTTTGTGTTTCATTCTCCATGTCCTTGTGCAAGCCTGGGGACAACTGGGGAAGCACGGGAGCAGCAGGACCATGTCTCCAGCCTACTCTGGTCCCAGCTGGGACCAGAGCTTTCCCTTGGTTTACCTGTGCTGAGGGAAGGATTCGCTCACCTACGAGCTGCTCTATGCAAAGGAAGGAGATGATACCTGGTGTTGGTTTAATAGCAGATAACATTAAATGCTTCTTTCCCTCCTCCCTCTTCCTACAGCCTTTACTCAGCAGAGCCCCGCTGTGTAAGTCCTATGGCTGCCCGAGCCTTTCCAGGCTGCAGCCCAGACCCATCCCTGCAGGGGGGACTTTGCTGTTGCAGCCCCAGCACCTGGCAGGAGCATTTGTCCCTGGTGAGAGACAACCCCTTGTTCTATCTGGATTTGCCTTTTGGGGAGTACAGATGCTTCTCCCTTCCCTTCTCACTCCCAGCTGTCATACAGAGCATCCTCATGGCCAGGGCCCTGGACATGCAAGCAACAGCTGCCCAGTACCTGACACTGCTGGTGGCTTCCCATACAGCCACTCCGTGCTGCTCCCACCCATCTCTAGGTACCTGTGCCTCCTGGGCTGGTCTGGCTGTGAAGCCCCTTGGGTCTGAGCTGGGGCACAGGGATGTGGCTCAATGGACTTTGAAGCCAGTTTCTTATGGGTAGGGGTAGAGGAAGGGCAGCACCTAGCTCTGTTTTTGTCCAGTCTTGCCGCAGGGCAAGGTCTGAGCTCCACCTGGCTTTGGAGAAAGGTTACCGTGCCTGTTGGCAATGTTTGGATCCTCTTTCTGATCCACCAAGGACAGCCTTTTCCCTCGGAGGGAGGCTTTAGAGCCCTGCGGCTGGGTTTGGGACAGGAGCCAGAACCCATTCCATGCCCCCCCTGTCCCCTGTGCTGTCTGTCCTCGTACTTCATCCTTCCTCATTTCCTTCATCCCCATCCCTGTGCTTTTATCAGCATAGGGGTGCCTCAGCGTTTGTAGTGTGATTGCAAGGCGGGGGCTGGCCTGACTGCTCCATTAATTCTGGATGTTGTCATCTGTGGGATGAACCTCTGGTCCAGGCTGGCACCCAGGTGAGGAAGGGGGTGGCTGGACATTATTGCCCTTTGCAAGGAAAAGGGTGTGGGAAATGGGATAAAGCCCCGAGCCCCTGCGAAAGGCCACCCAGCTCCCACCCACGTGGGCTGCCCCAAATCCTGGCACAAGGGAGGCTGCCCCCCAGGGAGGGCCAGCCGGGGCTCCAGTGTGCTCACAGCATCGAGGACATCGCTGGTCACCAAGGGCTGTCCCCAGGGCTTGAGTTTGGCATTGTGGATTTGGCTTTTCTTAGAGGATTTGGGGAGGAGAGCACCTTGCTGCTGGCTACCAGCGAGGCCTGCTTCCCCCACACCCCTGGGCAGTGGTAACACCAGGGCTGCTCCCGTGCCCTTCCCCGCTCACCGGTGAATGTGCCGATGTTGCCTTGACCGTGTTGGGGTGCCCCAGTGAGGGGGGTGTGAAGCCTGGGGGGAGCGGAGCACACTGTACTGAATGCTGTATTTTCTAAAGAATAAAGTATTTTTAAAGCAGTCTGCTGCTCTCTGGGGTCTTCTGTGGTGCCGGGGTTTGGGTATTTACTGGGAGTCTCCATGGGTCGTGCTCAAGGCTGTGCATCTGCACACGTTGCCAAGGTGTGCTTTTCCTTGCATTCAGGGTGTTTTACTGCACTTGCACTTCCAGGGGTTGTGTAAATAATAGGTTGAGAAACAGGATATGCAATTAGGGCTATGCAACACTCAGCTAAATGGATGGGTACTGTTGCCTGGGTGGGTCAACAGGGAAGGAAATCTTAGCAGTACTTTCACACCTCACACCTGCTCACTCCATCAGTGCTTACAGCCCATTTGTCCCCAGCTTTAAACATCTTTTACCAATTACTTCCCCTTATCATTTTCCAGAAACCAAACTTGTGCTTATGCAACCACCGGCAGTTACACAACCCGCCATCGAGCTTTGTTTGCTGGGAAATAATCTGTGTTTGTTTCCTCATCCTTTGTCCTTTTTCACTGGGGAAAAACGCCTTCTTTCCGTGTGTCATTGGCTTTGTCACTCTCTGCAGCCGTGATGGTTGGCCCTGCCTGCCTCTCACTGCACTCTGGCCCTGCCTTCACCCCTTGCTTACCTGTGCAAGCTAATGGAACGCACCACATCAGATGTGAACAAGTGTGCAGAGGAACTGATCAAAACATACACATGCTCACCGTGCTCCTGGTGTTGCAAACACCTTTGTGGTGCTTGGGATGCTCTTCTAGGAGTGGCAGATGGCTGGCCTGTAAGTTTGGCTCCAGTTACAACCTCAGTGCTGATGAGAAAAGAGCTGCAATGGAGCTGCATGTTCACACAGCCTTAGCCATGAGCTGCTTGTTGCAAGGCAAGGCCACAGGGATGAGGCACCCTATTTTTCTCCCAGAAGCACTGGGAAATTCCTAAGATAAAGGAAAGCTAAGCCTTTTGGAGCAGCAAAGCAACACTTGTGTTCCCCACAGTCAGTGGACAGAGATGATGATTTTGCTGCAGTTTGTGGCTATTTGCAATATTAGAATGAATGCTCATGGCAACTTCACAGCATGCCTGCAACCATAACAGCAGAGGTGCACTGAGAGGAGTAACCAGAGAAAAGCTGTGCAGGGACTCGTGGAAACAAACCTGCAGCAGTTACAGGACATGCCTGTGCATGAAGGAAGCAGTGCACTGCTTTGTCCAGGCCTTCCTGCCAGCATTGCCTTCTCAATGCATACATACACCCACAGAATTACTTCCCCCACTCCTCTATGCACGACAGCTTTGAACAGGCCTGTTAGCCCATTTGCCATGCAAATTTTACAAAGGTTGCAAAAGCAGCAATGTCAGACCTGTCCAAGAGCTGAATGATTAAGGACCAGTCACTGACAAGCAGTTTTTCCACTGAAGGTGAGCTCTAAGACTCAGGAATGCAGACTTGGCAGGACTTCGCCAACCATGAGCAACTTTCCATCTCCTACCCAGCCAGGGG